CAGATGTTACTCTAGCAGATTTCCCTTCCTAATTAGGCCTCACTTAAAGCAGGAGTTAATTTCGTCTTCATTAGCTATTTCCAAATCAGCAGGATGAGGTAAGGAGGAAGCCCAGGGCATGCTGGATATTTGGGGGAAGTTGGCCCAGTGCTAAAAGTCGGCAGTAGATCGTGCTCGAAGAATGAAATGCAAATATGGGTAATCACCGGGAGGGGCACATACACCAGAAATGCTTATAAACACCTTCCTAAAGAATTCTCGGACATTTATCAATTCTTTTTCTTTCTATTAATTATGAGTACAAAACAATTCCATAATAGGAATTAGGTAAATAATAATGTGAAATTTTGTTTAGGAAAAAATAGAGGCTCAGAGAGGTTAAGTGACTTCTCACACAGATGGATCTCTCAGCAAACAGTACCTAGGACACTGAAACTGATTAATGAATGATAAGAAGACCCCACTGTTTCCTTCTTATTGATGATTTGAATAATGACGAAGTGAGAATTTTCCTGGCCTAATTCGCATTAAGAGAGCCAAGATAATGAAGCTGTGATTAAATAGCTATTAAACTATTTTTATCAAACAGAGATCAAGCGAGTGTGAGAATCTGGGGACGCAGAGTTTAATTGCAATTCTACAAGATGCAGAAAAAATTACTAACATAAGCAGGGCATGGTCCTTTCATAATAGCCTGCATTTAAAAATCTTTGGGATACCACATGCAGTTTTTACTTGGTGTTTCTCCTTTCAGGTGTTGGTTAGAATCTCAGAGTCCCTTATCTCCTCCTTAATTTAGTGGATTTATTCACCCTCTGTGTGCATTTGGGTGAGTTGAATGCACTGTCTGCCCCACTATGTATGACCAGTTGGAAGATTCTTTTAGCAACTGCTCACAGAGGAGGAAGACCCAGATAGTCTAGACTGGGTCCAGAATTGTAATTTGAGGCCAGCCTGGGCACCTGTAGGGGCAGAATCTATTTTCTTTCATCTATGCCTTTTAAATTGTCAGAGTAGTGCAGGTCATAGAGGGACCCAGCAGTCTCAAAGAGCATTGATGAACCTTCTAATTTTGTTGACTATCCCAAACCATCATTTATTAGTGACATGGCATCGCTTAGAAATTGTTGCAGATTCTAAATTTGGGGTTGTTAGTATAAATGCTGTGTATTATCTGTCACTGGAAATTCTTTACCCCTTGAGTGAGTTTTTATTGATGTGCCTTCTTTCTTCCTGGAGGGCCCTTAGAGAATAAGGTGTTACAGTCACACAGACCTTTATTTAGGTCGGAAGAATTGCATTGTGTAAGGAGAACCCAAGGTTGACACCCACCATGGGAAATGCTGTTTGATAGCCAGGGAGCTCAACTGTGGAAATGCCTGTTAGCCTGTTTTCTACCTTTCCTTCTTCCTCTGCTGCCAGCTTCAAAACCGAGCTTAGTTTGTGTAGCTGTAGATCACTGCCCAGTTGGTGATCTGCCCTTTCTTCCTCACCTCTCTACATTGCTTTTCTTTTCTTTTGTAAACTTGGATGGAACTAAGAAGTACTATTTTTGTAAAATAGTAATTTCAAACAATTAGAAAGCAGTATCAGAGCCAAGTCTTTGAAAGGTTATCTTGCAATGTCATTTTACTGACTAATGTGTTTCCATACGCTGTCACCTGTGAACAGACATGTGTGAGTAGGCCAGTGTGCTTCATCTGCAGTGACTTTGATTTATTTGCTCTGTAAATTGGGACCGAAGCAATAATGAAAAGTGACATTAATTGTTTAACAGAGTCCTCTTTATCACATCCGTTACCTTCTCTGGGCATTTGATTGTTGAAACTCATATGAAACTAATTGAAATTGCCACAATGAGGGGCAATGTCCATTCAACTTTATGTATAGGGATATCTGTTGAGCTTCAGTTACACAAGTATCATCGGTAAATACCAGGCTTTCTTTCCAGTCTTCTGTGATTAAACACAGAAACTTTGAAACAATAACATTTTGTCTTTCCTTAATGCAGGAAAAAAACTTTGCTAAAATAAATGGTCTTGGAACATCTCTCTGAGTCACCCAAGTACAAGGATGATAATAAAAATATTTAATAATCATTTCTAATAAACACTGAGTGTAAATAATGATTATAGCCCTACTGGTACATACTAGTTGAATACTAGCCCGTCCTACCCACATACCCCAATACACTGACACACATACACACACACACACACACACACATCTCCACCAGGCCAATCTCTTATCCCACAAATCCTCCCCTCCTGTTGTGGTTCCAGTAGAGAGAATTAAAATAGTTGGTGGCTTAATCAGATCTTATAAATTAATTATGACATTATCAAGCTCCAATATTTCTGCCGTTGTATTAGGTATACATCCACACAGACTTATTAAAGAAATTGGAGAAAACTAGTTAATTTAAGGGTTCTTTGTTATTTTGACTTGATTGGAATTATCGTAGTTTGTTTACACTAGGGATAGAGCTAAGGAACTATTGTATTATGTGATTGAAAGCAAATAGCAGCTTGTAGTATTGCTGGAAAGCCAAACACAAAATTTAAATCAGAGTAAACAAAATTATCCATTTATTGGTAAACATTCTCAACTATTTTTCTTGAGCTAATTTTGAACTTCAGTGAAATAAGCCTGTTAAGAATGAGATACCTGGAAAAAATGTCCAATTTACTAAAAATGTATGTGTGTGTCTGTGTGTGCATGTGTGTTTGATATATTTTCAGATTATTTTATTAGATTATATGGAAATATTTATAGTAATACAAATCTCATGATTTTGAGATGCTTAAAAGAATACATATTTAATTTAAATATAATTTTATTCAGAATAATTTTGGTTTTTGAAATGTGGGAGAATCTAAAATGGGAATGATTGAAATCTTTGGATACCAGTTAATGAACCTGAGCAGAAGATAAGGGAAAATACTTGCAGTATCTTTATTATTATGATAACATGGACAGGGGCCTTCAAAAGACACAGCTGAAAAATGGTAGATTGAAGAACTAGGGCCCCGGGGTGTTCAATATACTGTAGTTATCGAATTGTGCAATTTGGATTCTAAGGCCTTCTAAGGTCAATTTATGTAAGTAGGTGGTACCATTTTGAAGTTAACAGTTTACCCCTTCGAATTAAAATTTATCTCCTGAATTAGAGTCTTAAACTCCATATAGTTGTCACACCACATTGTGCCCAAACAACTTGAATTATGGGAACGTGTTATGCAAATGTAAAAAATGCTGATTAAAGTCCACCGTGAATACAAATGGCTCTTCTTGGCCTCTTGAATCCCAAAGAGAAAGAAGTCTATAGTTTTACTCCTGGATGGAGACTGATCAGTAATGAGGGAAAACAATTTTTATGTGAAAATAGAATGTATACGTGATAAAGGCCTGCCTAATTTCTCTAGTAATACAATTTGATTTTCTGATTAGCTGTCTTACTCTGTGATTCTTGTAATTTTGTCAGGTCAATTAACTGGAGTTCAGTGCTAGAGAGAAAGGAAGTGTGGGCACTGCTGGCTTCATTAGATGTCAGAAGCTTAGGTGCATTTTGTAATAAAATCTGTGTGGGATAATTTAGCCCATATTGTTAATGTCATAGCATACAGAACTTAAAAAAGACGACTTTGGATTGGACAAACAACATGAAGTGCTAAAAGAAGGAAAAGAAAGTGGTCTGTACAGAATATATCGTTGATAATAAATGCAGATCAATGAATTATTCAGCAAGTAATCATTGACTGACTATACCATGTGCCCAGCCCAGGTACTGGTTGTCAATATGCATAGAATATAACACATTGCCCTGTAAACAAGGTGCATAAGCTCCAGCTTGGCAGTCCTTGAACCATTTTGCACAGAGTACTGGAATAAATATTGTCTTTTATAATAAATTGCATATAGGTTCTTCCCTTCCACTGGAGGGTTCCCCGGCAGGGCAAGTTTTGTCTTGCTTCTCTTTTGTGTCTCCAACACCTCACATGGCCCTGGCACAAAGCAGATGTTCAAAAATGCCTGTGGGATGAATGATGGAAGGTTCACTTTCTAAGATTGTGGTGGTGGAAATGAGTCTAGGAGGTGAGAAAACAAGTTAGAATATATTTGTTGGAGCCCTCAGAAGTGGTGTTGGACTCCTGGCCAATGCATTAAATGAATGTATTTAAGAGACGCTACAAAGCAAGATTCTACTTAGTGACTGACCAAATAAAAAGGAGTTGCGGTAGTTCTAGAGTTTAAGTATGAAGAATTGTTATACAAACCAAACTCAAAAAAAAAAACAGCAGTTATGTAGTGAAAGGTCCTAAGTTTCAGTTTTAAAGATGAGGGAGCTATTACAGAGTAGCAATGTCCAGTAGGCAGTCAGAGATTTATGACTAAAGTTGGGAGAGATGTCAGGGAGAGAAATAAATAAATTATTTGGAAGTGTTCAGTGATGAGATTATAATTGAAACCATGAAAGTGTATAGTTTTTCTTAGTATAGTTTCAGTTTCTGGTGCTGTTCAAACAGAGGGTTATCTAACCCATTGGGGGAGGGTATGCTGTACAAGAGATTCCAACACTATATCTGAAGTTGAAATAGATGATGGTTAAAATTCTCTCAAGCCCTGAGAGTCTCTAACTCATCTCTTTTAGTTAGGGAAAAAAAAGACATGAGCAGGTGGAAAATAGGAACAAGACAGAGTCCTCTACAGCAGTTTCAAGCACTGACATAACAAATTGTTACATTGGACAGCTCAACAATCAAGAGACTGGTACATTAGAGATATTCATTCATTGTATGATTGGGACCACAAATGCGTTTGCAGTTGGACAAAGCCATGATCTTCATGTTCTGGAGTGGGCACGTGAGATTTGACATACGGTTTACTCATTTGGTTAAACAGATTCAGACTATGCTGATAAATAGTGTTACCTACCTCCTGATGTCAATTCACTCCCATCATCTTTGTGCTCTTTGTTTTTTTTTTTTCTGTTTCTGCAGAAGATAGATGAAGAGAATGAGGCAAACTTGCTAGCAGTCCTCACAGAGACACTGGACAGTCTCCCTGTGGATGAAGACGGATTGCCCTCATTTGATGCACTGACAGATGGAGACGTGACCACTGACAACGAGGCTAGTCCCTCCTCCATGCCTGAGGGCACCCCTCCGCCTCAGGAGGCAGAAGAGCCATCTCTAGTAAGAACCCTTCCTACTGTTTAGCAGGAATTGGAGTTGCCTCTGGCTACCCTCTGCATGGGTATGATGTAGTAACAATAAGGTTTGGATTTTTAATTTAGACTGATGCCAAAACAATCCCCAAGCACACTCAGAGTTGCAACTTCTGTGATTTCTCTGTTTAAAAGTGTTGATAATACAGGTCTTCGTGTGGTCTTACTGCAGTTAGTTGGATTTTTTAAAACTATCATTTGCTGTTTATGTGTATTTTTATTTCTTAGTATTATTTATGTTCAGGATGAAAACTTACGAAATGTAGACAACTAAAAAGAAGAGACTTAAAATTTACCTGTGATTTCAAATAGCCTTTAATATAAAAATGATTGAAATTTCTTTTTGATTTAAGATATATCATGAACATGTTGGTAAAAATTTAAATATATGCATAATATTTAACAGTTACACAGTATTTTATCATATGGTGATGTTCTAATTTTTTAATCAATCCCTTATGTTAGGATATTTAGTTTTTTCCCTTCTGTTTTTCACTGTTATGAATTGTATAATAATTGACATGTTTTCATTTTTATTCTTATGGATACAGTTCTAGATACAGAAATAGTAGATGAAGGGGTATGCAATATTTTAAGAGTTTGGATACATATTTTCTATAAAAATTGAAAAATAATAGCATGTTTGCAACCTAAGTTACTTAAATGTATGGTAGGCAATGAAGACTGAATTGATTGGCAATGAAGACTTAATTTTCTTTTCAATGCAGTGCTTGACCAGAATTTCATTAGTTCTAAGACACAGTTTACCTTCTCATCTATAATAGCCATTTGTCATTTGCCATAAATTTGAATTAAGAGCACACTGTGTAAATTATGGAATGCCATTCTCCAAATGCTAATACTATGCTATGGCATGCCATTTAGAGGTTGTTTCTCTGATATCATTAAGTTTTTAAATGTTAAAAGAACTCCATGAAACTATATGGAGAACCTACTTGTATTGCTTTGCATTTTGAGATTTCTGATCTAGAGGAGAATATCTCATAAATAGTTGTTATTTATTCTCTACTTTCTCTGTTTGTCAGTGTCATTGGCTTTGTTGTCTAGTACTCTGATTTCTTTGCATTGATGCTGGATTGTTTCCATATACACAATTTGTTTAATTGGGAGGAGTTGTTGACCCAGAGGCATACTGTATGTCAGGACAGGGGGTTTCCTAAGAGTCCTCCAGGCAAATTAAGAAACAGAGGTCAGGAGACAGTAAATGCTTTGCTAAGTCAGAATCTACATCTCCTGATGTACCAGCCAGGACTCTATCTACTTACAAATCCCTTTTTTCTTTTCTAATATCAGTGATAGCTGCTCTTTTATCCCAAACATTCTTTGAATCAGCAAATTTATATACTTGGCTATGAAATATGGTTTAAAGCATCACAAAGTCTTTCATTTATTGTCACTTGATTTATTTGAGTTTTTGAAGGGAAAATGTATATCTGTTCCCCACCCCTCACTCCCAAGACTTCATTTAGCAAGGCAGCTTTTCTCACCTCGTAGTGATTTAGAAATTGATTTAGGAAGATCTTTTGCTTTATCAAAAAAAAATTTAGGAAAATAATACCTAGTCTAATTTATTAAGAATCCCTTATGGTTGGATGTTTAGGTTTTTTTCCTTTTATTTTTAAGCATTATGAAGTATATAATAATTGACATGTTTGCATTTTTATTCTTATGCATATAATTCTAGAAATAGAATTGGAAAAAAAGAAAATATTTCATAGTTGGTAGTATGCCAAACTTTTTCAGACTGTATTAAAAATATGTTTCCTTTAGCACTATTGTGCTAAGGTGTGATATAATTAAAGAGTGATAGAATTAATTTTTATAATTATAATAAATTAATTTTAAGTTTAAAATTTCAGTAATTTATTCTCATGCTTAAAAGATGCATAACTTTTCTTGCTTTTCCCTTTCCCCGGTAATGTTTCTAGCTTAAGAAGCTCTTACTGGCACCGGCCAACACTCAGCTAAGTTATAATGAATGCAGCGGTCTCAGTACCCAGAACCATGCAAACCACAATCACAGGATCAGAACAAACGCTGCAGTTGTTAAGGTACAAATGTTAACTTTTTAATGCAAGGGGGAAGTAACAAAGGGTTTTGCTTGAAGCTGTAAAACGAACAATAGGTTTATATGCGCTCATTCATCTGGGACCCTGCAGCTGCTTCATAATGGTGAATCAGATTATGAAATAGGGTTCCAAAAACAGCACTTGAGCTACTTTAAACCAGGCAGAGCTCATTTACGCATTGTCTTTGGATGTTTGGAATGGAAGTGCCCCTGTCTGTTACTTCTGGCCACTTTATTAATCCGTGCAGCAGTTTGGGCTACAATAAAATTTGCTGATAGGCTGGTATTAGCTATGTGAGTGACTTTAAGATGCAGGATTACTGTTTTGCCAGCTGTCTAACCTGAGTAAGATTGCTTTTGGAATCACCGCAAAAGATCTATCTGTGCCATTAATTGGATGGAATGCTGGCAATGACATAATTCGGTTAGCAGGCCGTTTTAAACAATGTTTGTCTTGCCATTCACTGTGAGTGAAAACGGCGCGTTAAGGGGTACTTAAGAGAGTTGTGAGTACTGGGCTTCAGCACTCAGCAGCAAATTAAGGTTTAAACCGGCTTATTTTTTTTTTTTTTTTATTCACAGTAAAGGCGCTGTAGGGTCTTGTTAGTTACATGTTGCTGAGTGTGAACATTGAAATGTAGGAGAAATGAAATAAAAAGCTGCATAAATGTCATTTAGGAATTTTAAATGTAATTTTCTTTCCTTGTTCTGCAAACAATTATTCACAGCTCATAGATCTAGTACACTTAGACTGAACACTTCATTGAAAATCTCATCTCTTCAGAAAACCTATATCCATTCTGATAAGGTTCAGTTCACTAATTTTAGCTTTCTTTATGCCTTGTTTTTAAGACTGAGAATTCATGGAGCAATAAAGCGAAAAGCATTTGTCAACAGCAAAAGCCACAAAGACGTCCCTGCTCAGAGCTTCTCAAGTATCTGACCACAAACGATGACCCTCCTCACACCAAACCCACAGAGAACAGAAACAGCAGCAGAGACAAATGCACCTCCAAAAAGAAGCCCCACACACAATCGCAATCGCAACATGTACAAGGTAGGCTGGGGACCAACGCGGGCTGTTGGTGAGGGCGCCCTAGGCAAAGAAAGCAAGCTCAAGGTCTGAGAATGCAGAAACTTCTAGCTTCCATCCATCGGTGTCTCTCTGTGGAACGAGAATTCAGCACTTTGTTACAGAGGGGGAAAAAAAATCCTTCCTTGGACACAGGTTGAACATATCCTATTCAGCTGATAGGCAGTCTAATTCGCAATCACCAAAAGACACCTGAAATGTTAGCCAGGTGGGGAGGAATTGCAACATCACATGAGGTTTAGATGAATCTCTGAATTGCTGAGATAATTGAAGTTATGTGCAAGCTGAGCTAACCAATTCATTAAAGAGCTTTTATTTTTTTCTCCTTCAGTAATGGAAAAAATGAGGCATTGCTGATTTGCTGTATATACCTTAAGAAGTAGTAAATAGTATTTATGTGGCCTCTCCTGATTATTAAATGCATTCTTCTTCTTCATTTTTTTTTTCAGACCACATGCTATGCTCACAGATTTTATTTTGTAAATAAGGATTTGGAAATTCCTGATTTCTTTTTCTTTCTATTTAAAAAAAAATTGCCTAGATTAAGCTAAACATCTGGGTTGATTTTTATTATCCCCATACACTGCTAGAAGGCTGATGTTTCTGAAGCAGAACAGGGTGATTTGGGGAAAACCTCTCTCAGAAAAGATATAATTTTTTTTTTCTTTTTGGCTCCTCCTCCTCAAAATGTTGTAGTCTAAGAGGCCCAAAGAGAACTTGTAGAAAGTAGTCGTTGCCTTAAAACATGCCAGCTACTTTAACTCTACCGCCAACCTTATAGTAAAAGTAGGTGAATTCCAAAGTAGCAGTTATCAATATCTACCTCTTTTTTTTCCTTTTGTCTCCCTGAGTTCCCCCTTTAGCTGCAGATGAGTAGCCTCTGTCCCTGTTTTGAACCATGATTATTTCACATAGATATGCTGTCGTGGCTGCTGATTTGAATAAGTATTTTCTTTTCTAGTGTATTGAATTTCCCTTCCTTATCCTTATATCACCATTAGCCCAGGATTTTCAGGAACATTCCTCTAATATTTTAAATTGGCTCTCACTTAGGTTTTTCCTGGTAGATATATCCAATTCACCGTCCACTGCTTTCTGTCGGTTTAGGAAAATATATTTAGCAAAATGGGCCCAATTCTCTTGCAGCTCTCTTTGCCCCTGATTGGGTCTTCATCACAAGCACTGTGACAGTTTTTTCCTAGAGCAGAACCGCTGTGCTGCGGGCCTCATCGGTGCAGAAGGCTGCAGGTGCAGGAAGCCAGCTGGGCTCGCTGGCGTGAGCGAGTGGAAGAATTCATGGGGCTACTCTCCACCTCATCCTGGTCATGCATTCATTTTCTAGAGCTGAATTTAAAGTCCCCAGCTCAATGAAACCCTGTAATCCGTGACCCCAGCCTGGTAGCATATGTTTTAAAGCTCTTTGGGGTTTTTTGTTTTGTTTTGTTTTCTTTGTAGTTGGCCCTTCTTTGATTTTGAGGGCTTTTTATTTTTTAAATCTACTCTCCCATAAATATAACTGTACACTTTTACAAATCATGACAGTTAAGAATTAAATAGGCCTCTCGAGGAAATATTCTTTAGACCAGACCAGTTCTATATGGATTTTTTAAAGGCATATATCTATGGCAAGGCATAAAAGGGTTATCCTAGAACAAAGTCTGTTGACCAAAAAAAAAAAAAAAATGCTATAGTTAGGAAAAGCCTAAAAGAAATGAAACACAGCTAGCTATTAATAACCAATAAATGCTGTGCTTCAGAGATTATTTGAATTATTATTCAAAACAAAACAGTAGAGAATATATGAATAACTAGAGATAATAACTAAGGATCTACTGAAGTTACCTTTCTTAATGTATTTTTTTTCTCATGGAACTTCATGTATGCACTCCGTAACATTGCAGAGTCAGCTTCTTTTCAGTTCCTTAGGATGATTGTCTAGCCTTTGGCATGTGTTGGTGTTCCAGGTAGTCATTTATTCACTCCTACATCCCCAAATACCATAATCTATATGAAAAAGATATATTCCTGCCCTCAAGTGCCCTGCCAGTCTCTGGTCCACCAGTCATCTGAACAGTGTGGATTAAACTCCCAGTAAACTAAATAAATATTCCTAGGAGGATTTGAGAGCCTGGGTTTATTCAAGGATTAGATTCTGCATGCATTTTGTACCCTTCCTATGGCTCTCATGCCCTGTTTGCCTTTGGTTCCATTAAATATGACTCCTGATGATTTCTCTTCTTCCATTGCCCTTGGCTTTACCTGTACCCAGTTATCAGAATTTTGGGAGTCTTCCTTTGAGCAATTCAGATAGCCTACCCTACCTCCTTAAAACTGGAATTCTAGTGACTGATTTTCAATAAACATTTATTGTGTGACATGGCACATAATTCATGTCTGGTTATGTTTTCTATAGAACCTATATGAATTATCCTAATTATTAAGTTAAGTACCAGGAAAGTTGATAAAATTCTTTCATAAAACTATTCTTTTTGAAAGACTTTTTACATTGGACATACTCAAAAACTAATATAAAATCAGCTCATTTATCAGTATATATAAAATCCAATCAATCAATGTATCTAATTTGCAGAAGACATCATGAGCTTTATATTTCTGGATGCACATTGGATAGATGGTACACTGTTTACTTGTTTAAAAACTAAATCTAAATCTACAAATTAAATATGCTAATACTATTTATCCAAGTAAAGTACCTAATTTCAGGCTAATTCGGACATAAATAGTTTTTTCACATTTCAAAGGACCTTAATTACTGGAGTTGATTAATTTACTTTAAAGTCTGTTGAATGCAATTCCTTTTGATAATAGGAGAAAGGAAACAGAATCTTGGCCAGTTCTGTGAGTAACTAATTTTATGGCCCTGGAAATTTCTGTCATTCAGCATCTTTGGGTCTCAGTTTCTTCATCCATAAAATAAGAAACTTTATTCTAAAGATCTTTTGGGTTTCACCTCTATGATTGTCATTACATTAATGGCTATGTATTGACCTCTTGAAAGTAGTTATTTTAAGGAGAAAAAATTGACATAAAGCTACATACGTATAAAGGTATCTACCTCTGTATATAGAAGCATATATATACTTAATACATGGATGTATATCCCAAGTACGTTTCTCATTATATTTTCCCCTCCTTCTGTTCAAAAACAAGATTGCCATGGAGAAGCAATTGAAATTTTGGAGTGAGAAGATTCTTACTCCACCCTTCATTATTGGGAAATGCCTCCGGTAGGAGGTAAGATTTAGGAAAGCACAAAAAGAAATAGTGAGCTCTCTTTGCAAGTGTATAGATCTCTCAGCTCGTATACATGATATCTTACTTCAGTTGTGTCTCAGATTTGGGGATCAGAACCCCTTTTAAGCCATCTGGGTCAATGCCCAGGATTTGTTATAATCTCTCAATTAATTTTCAGCGAGTGGAATGGTTATTGCTTGAGCTTTGGCCTCATAGAAATAACCTATTCTCAGGGCTAGATATAAAATTATACATTTTAGGAGTAAAATCAACTGAATATTCATAACGTTCTGTCACCATGTAGTTACTCTGCTGTTTTCTTGTCTAAACAAACCGTGTACTGTATTCCAAATTAAAACAGAAAACATTATTTCTCTCTGATGGTATGATGCAAATTTTGTATCCTTAACAGGGAAGGTACATTTTAGGGAAAATTCTGTTTTTGTATGTGCTTTCAAATGATAGTTTACTGATGCAAATGTTGTTTGGAATTTGTTTTAGCATAATGGACCGTTGTCTAACTTTGATCCAATATTCAGAGATTTCTTTAGTTTAGTCTTACAGTTTCCTGGTTGTGTCTCCAACTTGACTATAGTAGAAAGAAAATAAATCTAAAAAACTATCAATATTTCATAATTAGTTTCTTTTTTTCCCTTTAGCCAAACCAACAACTTTATCTCTTCCTCTGACCCCAGAGTCACCAAAGTAAGTATTAAGAAATGTAACCATTTTCAGAAAGGGAAGGGGGTTCTAATACATTTGGCTACAGCAACTCCATTTCAGTTTGTTTTTATAAATGTGCCGTATCTTCCAGTGACCCCAAGGGTTCCCCATTTGAGAACAAGACTATTGAACGAACCTTAAGTGTGGAACTCTCTGGAACTGCAGGTGAGCCTTACATTTCCCTTGCAACTGTGTGTGTGTGTGTGTGTGTGTGTGTGAAATATATATGAGATAATAAAGTGTATTCTCTATGTGATTAATGAAATTACCAAAGAGTACAAACAAAATTGGGTAAGAAGCTACCTGTAAATATTTTCAGTTGCTTATTTTAAAAAAACAAACTAAAAAAAAAATACTGAAGTGCTTTAAAAACTTGGACTAACTGAAGAGTTCCTAGGCAGACATCTGAGTTGGTTGTAAATGGTGCTTTTGCACTAAGTGCTTTAGGTTTAGGTACTTGAACCCTACCAGAAAGTGAATCTTAGGATGTCTGAACAAGAAATTCCTTGGCTCTGGCTATTGCTGATAAGGATAAAGAAACAGTAAGTTAAACAAGATGCTTTCAACCAGAACCATGGTGCCTACACGCATGGTGGTCATTGTTGCTAAGTTTAATTTCACACTTTGAGTTTGCTAAATTATCTCCTCATGAAAGGTCTCTTGCATGATTGCATGATTCGGTCAAGCAATAGAGTAGTTAATTTCATGGTGTGTGTGTGTGTGTGCATGTGTGTATATATATGTGTGTGTGTGTGCAGACTCACACATATATACATATATATACAAATATATCTTTATATACATATACACAAATATTCCTTATAAGCACATACGTAACATAATTTCTTAAATATATCAGATACAACACTGTTTCTTAAATAAGTTACATCTTATATGATTAGAAGTAACTTTAGTGTATATATAATGTATGCAGAAGAAGTTTTCTAATCTGACTAGTGAGGACCAGTAATTGGTGAGTTTATTTAAAAAGTTGATTGGAGCATATATAGTTTTATCATTTTACTTTTGCTTAAAACATATAAATATACATTTAAATGTTAGATTTTTGGTAGAGGACAGAGACTTTTATTTTGAGCTTGACTGTGCTGAGGATTGATCCATTCACCTTTCTTGTAAAAACCACACTAATGATATATCATAGATCAGTGGTCCCCAACTTCTTTGGCACCAGAGGCTGGTTTCATGGAAGATAATTTTTCCATAGACCTAGGGTGGGGTATGGTTTGGGCATGATTCGAGCACATTACATTTACTGTGCAGTCTGCTGATGATAATGTATATTTGCAGCTGCTCCCCAGCGCTAGCATCACCCCCTCAGCTTGACCTCAGATCATCAGGCATTAGATTCTCATGAGGAGCCTGCAACCTGGATGCCTCCTCGTATGTGCAGTTCATGGTAGAGCTTGAGCTCCTATGAGAATCTAATGCTGTTGCTGATCTGACAGGAGGTGTGAAGCGTATGCGGTGATGGGAGTGGTGGGGAGTGGCTATAAGTACAGATGAAGCTTCGCTTGTTTGCCCACCGCTCACCTCCTGCTATGCAGCCCGATTCCTAATAGGCCACAGACTGGTACCAGTCCATGGGCCCGTGGTTGGGGCCCACAGTTATAGGTGATATCCACTATTTACTTCTTCCTCTTTGAAGGAAAAGAATAAAGACATTTGTATGGCAGTCTGAGTCCAAAGTCTAGATTTTTATGATTTTTTTCCCCAATGTTTTCCAATGCCACCCATCCATAACTAATTTGACAGCACTTCTTTTAGAAAGGTATCTTTATTGGGTCTTTTCATAAAAATGATTTTCTATACTCATATTTCATTCATTTACATAATATTTTACCATATTATATAATTTCAATCACCAGTCCAAAGGACATTAACTCATTTGGGAAATTATACCACTGTGGCTCTTGGTAAAAGCCATCTGAAATGATCTATTAACTAGGATTGTTCAGAATGTTGTGGGCATTAGTTACACTGGGAGAGGGATGACAGCTTCCACTGTATATACCAATACCAAGCTTTCCATTAAAAAAATACTTTATATTATTCTCTGATTATAAACAATGTAAGCTTACTCTAAAAAATGTCAAAAACATTAACTAGAAGAAAAAAATTATTCATAGCTGTAAGAGATAAAAAATATTCATAGCATTGTTTTCTATGGATATTTTTATATATTTGCAATAACTTTTGTGTGTATATATTTTATTTTGCATCCTAATTTTTCAATTAACATTTTAATAAGGAATTTTTGTATCATCACAAACCTTTTATTATAAGGCTTTTAGAGTACTGTATAATATTAGTTTGAGTAGGCACATCAAAATTTATTTAATCATACACTCATTGTTACATGTTTTGGTTGTTTTAAAGTATTACTGTTTTGAAATAGCATCACAATGAAAATCTTTGTTCATAAATTTTCTAATCTTATTTTCTCAAAATAGAATCCTAATAGTTATTAATTCTGAAAATGAGGATATAAATATCTTGGGGGATATATAAATATCTAATTGGGGGATATCTATTAATATCTCTTGGGGGATATATAAATATCTGCTATATATGTTACTACATTGCTTTCCAAAAGACTTATTTCTATTTATAATCCCACTAGCACTGTATTGCTATACTTACTTTATTACATCTTGGCCAGCATTGGGCATCTTTGCTTTTAAAGTGTCTTCTAATTTATGAACATGAACATATCTTTACATTGCATTTCTTCTATGAATAATATGGTATTATAAAAAAGCAATTATTTTTATTTTCTTCTTGACAGAAATGTAAACATTTCTTCTTACTGGTAGACATTTAGTTTTAAATAATTTAGTTATAATTTTTAAAGGTCAATAGCCTACTTTATTGAAAGACAGTTAAAGATTTATAAAAAAATACTTTTTACTTAATAATAAGAATCTTAGAAATTGTATACAGTGGATTTATTTTGGTCAGCAAATCAGCATTATATTCATAGTTTAAATCTTTTATTCTTGGTATTGTTGAAAGATGATTTGGTAATGGAAATCAATTTATCAACACATTTGTAATACTTGCTCTATGCTAGCAATATAGTAGGTTCTGGTGGTCCCAAGCAAGTGTAAGAGACAGAGAATAATCCATGTAAAGCATGGAGCATAGTGCTTGCCCTTATAGGTGCTAAATAAATGTTCTTGTGTTTAAGATGTGGGTTTATAGTTTGTTGGGAAAACAACACATATTGATAAGTGGCATGAAAGGAAAATACTGTTTATGTGATATAATGTTTTATAATGTCCTAAGGAGGGTAGACCCTGGGGTAGTTTTTTAGTTGAGTGTAATGGTAGTAACTGCGAGGCTATAAATTGGAGAAGCTGAGATAGAGCTAAATTGCATTATGTAAGAGAATGGATTTAGAGCTGTAGGAAACCAAGGAGATGAGGAGGAACTTGAAGGGTGCTGAAGGTGGCTGGAAAGTGGAGTTTGGAATCTGCTTGGAGAGTTGTGTAAGGAGAGACTGAGGGAGAAGATGTTTTTTTGGGTAGAATATTCTGGGTTTGAAAAGCTATGCAGTGTAAGCTGTCTATGCTCTCCATCTCCTCTAAATATCTTCAGGAAAAATTGTTGCTTAGTAGTGATTGGAGGATGTGACAAACATGGATTATACCTCTAGAGAATCACAAGGGGAGAAACAAAGTTATCAAAGGGAAAATCGTAGCCATGGCTTTAAGTTTAAAGACAATGAGCAAAACATTATAAAGAATTATAAAGGCATTTCAAGGATTGAAAGAAACATTGAGGCTAAGGCCATCATCTTAGTGAATGAAAGGTGATCTGTGCAAAAGAGTTTGGAGGAAATTGAGCTCTCCATAAGCTAGACTGACTTGTGGAGCCTTCGGGGAAAGAAATATTTGCACCAGATTTTGAAGCATGGGGTGGAATGGAGAGAAGATATTGAGGGAGCAGAAGCATGAAAGCAGGAAATAAAAGAGATACTCAGATGGCAATGAAGTTGACGTGGGTAGTGAAATCAGTAAGGAACTACAGAACGAAACACACACTTTTCCTCCTTGATGGGTCGATTGCTGAGACTCTTTTCTATATTTATGGTCTTTTCTTGGCTTCAGTTTCCTCAATGTTGAAGTCATGTTTGTAACTACCAAACGACATTACTGTCTGACTCAAAGTACTAAAATATAGGTTGAAATATAAAATTGCTAGTATTCAACTATTTTTGACATAAAAAAGGGAATTTCATGTGGTTCAATCTGAATTAAAACACTTTGTAAGAGGCAAAGCTCCAAATAAAAGTAGTATATCGTGATTTATTAAGAGTGGACAGCATAGCATAGTGAAAAGGTGTTCAAAACCTTGGCTTGGGTATTAGACAAAACAAACCCAAGTTCAAAGTCTAGATCTGCTCCCATCTAAAGTATAGCCTTGGTCAATTTACTTAACTTCTGTAAGACTCAAGGTTTTTTTTTTTTTGTTTTGTTTTGAGACAAAGTCTCACTCTGTTGCCTGGGCTAGAATGCCATGGCATCAACTTAGCTCACAACCACCTCAAACTCCTGGGGTCAAGAGATCCTCCTGCCTCAGCATGCCAAAGAGCTGGGACTACAGGCATGTATCACCATGCCCAGCTAATATTTCTATTTTTAGTTGTCTGGCTAGTTTCTTTCTACATTTAGTAGAGACAGGGGTCTTGCTCTTGCTGAGGCTGGTCTCGAACTCCTGACCTCAATAGATCCTCCTGCCTCAGCCTCCCAGAGTGCTAGGATTACGGGCATTGAGCCACCATGCCTGGCCAAGACTCAAGATTTTCATGTACCAAATGAAGATGGTAACAGTACCTACCTACATCTCACTGGGTCACTGTGAGGATTAAATGAGATAAAACACAAGTGCCTGTATATTATGTAAGTATTCAATAAATATCAGATATTTAATTACTAATCCTGAGTTGACTTCATCTACTGAAATCATTGTGCCTCTTTTCTCTTCTTTTCAACTTTTGGCTGTCTTCACCTCTTCCCTTTCTGTTGATCTTGCTGCTCTATCCTGTTTGTCCTCCTCTTCCTGAAGTTATTCTTTTTTGTAGAACCTCCACCTCCCATCAATTTCCCCACAAAATTGAGCAAATACTATTTTTGATGAGGGTA